AATTATCTAACGCGTGTCGAACCGTGCTGCCGGTCATGTTCTCGCAAAAGTAGCACAATGCCCGGACTGCAGCTACCTCTTCATAAGACGAACGATATATCATTACAAAGTGCCCGCGACTAAACGACGCGTTTGACAATCTGAAGGAGATCATTGTGCCTGCCTCTGCTACCATGGTTTCCCAAAAGAGATATCGCGGCCGCGAGAAAGAAATTTCACATCCGAGAGAGTCCTTTCGGTCGTTATCGTAGCGAATCTCTGCTTTAAATTTCCCGGTGCACAATCGGACCGCGCTACGGCGTCGGATTCTCTGCACGAATTACACTTCGCATCAAGTTCCAGAAGTGTTTTATACTAGAACCCTTATACTAACAATAAGATAAAGAGAAAAGATATTTGCAGCTGTTGCGCACGCAATTCGAGGCGCAATTAATTAATAAGACATCTTGCCATCGACATCTTGTACACTTACAAAATGTCAATGTCCGCGATCACAAATCTGATTCTCTGTGAATTTTCGATCCAACCACACACACATGCACACACGCGTATACATTATATTGTGGTAGTTTACATAATTTCCCCGCGCGAAAAGGAAAGCTGGGCTAGGATCAATGGGAACGAGGGAGGGATCGAAGTCGCGGTGTGGGCAAAGGGACCCTCGTCCTGCAAAATATCAAAGGCTCAGTAGGGAAATTGAAAGGCTTTGTATGGAAATAAGAATGTATCGACTGCCCCCGAACAACCACTCATCCGGGGACAAGATTTTCGAATCTTATACATTTAAACGCTTCGTCGCGAGAGATCGTAAGGAGAAAAAGAGAAAGAGAAGGAGACGGGATTTCTTATTTATTCTACCCGGGATGTAATTTTTGTCGAAGCTATTGCGCAATCTAGCTGTCATTCCGTATCAATAACCGTAAAATATAATGTATATATAATAAAGCGTACAAAAGAGAACCAGATTGAAAGTCTTTTTTATTATCTTTCTTTATTATATTCTATTAAACTGAAACAAAAATATTTTCTTGATAAATTTAGGTATTATCATAAACATTAAAAATTATTGATTTAAGTATTTTATTTACATGTTATAAGTAATAAAGTCACTAAATATATACAACGTACCTTATACATATACATATATGTTAACTTATTGGTACACACTTGGCAACATTCTTTAATAATTGAAGATATTTGCAGATATTTATTATTTAATTAATAGTGTCATTAGTGCAGAGAAGAAAGTATGCGATTTATACAGTAATTTTGCAATTATTTTATATTGTAAGACTATATAAGAATTCATATATTCTATAATAATTTATAAATAGCAATTATTTTTAAACAATTAATTCGCAGTGTATGGCGTATTGTCAATTTCAGATGGTTTTTTCTTTTTACCTGATAACGCCAACTAGGAGCAACCTTCCAATCTGGAGAGCATAACGTGTTAGCAGGCTCAGGCGTCTCGGTAGTCGATATAAAATAGCGTGTTCATGTAAATGGTAACTTACCGACCTTACTGGATGCAGTTAGAGGAGAAACTTGTGCGATTTATACGATAATTTTGCAATTATTTTATACTGTAAGACTATATAAGAATTCATATATTCTAATAATTTATAAATAGCAATTTGTTTAAAACTATATATACTTTTATAAACACTTATTTTACGTGTTATTATCAAACTGATTTGAGTTAAACATAAGCCTAATTACGTTATGTCTTATTAATTCTAATTTATACTCCCTATTTATATGTATAATCCTAATCTTATCAATAATAATCGTACAATTATAATACTTTATGAAAGTTCTTTATCTCTTCCTAATTTATTATTTAAAATTCTAAATAAAAAATAATCATTAGGGGTGTGATGACGTAAGAGCTATCAGCATACGAGGGTGAACAATTGAACATAGTGCTATGCGGACTGCGTGACGGTTTACAAGTGCGTTCGATCGCAGCAACGCATATTTTTCTCGAGCGGTGTATTCGGACGCTTGAAAACATAATTTAATATTTTCTCCATGAGTATCAAATACATTCGCCGGAAATATTCGCGAGAAATAAGAGTTTTCTCCAAAAACATACGCGCATTAAAGGAACGCGTGTTAAAACTATGCGTACAGAGTGCTGATAAAACTTGCGCGGAATGCATAAAGCCATTTTTATTACTGTTCAAATTGTGCGGATTGTTTGCCAATAAAGTCACGGTGGGTCAAGTGAAGCGTTGCTCCTGGTCCACTTACGGCATTTGCGTTTTTTGGATAGGCCTTTTCGTCACGTGTATATATTATTTGTTCCTGTATCTTGTGAAATTAAAACGTATTTATTTAGAGATAACAGTACATTTCGCAAAACATTTCTTAGGATGCATAAGTCTCAGTGCCGATGTCATTACTGCTTACTCTTCGCAAAATCACTTCAGCAAGGTGAGGAAGATGGGATAAAGATACTCTTTAAAAGTCGAAGAGTGTAATATCACTCAAAACGAGTGAAAAGAAGAAAGAGAGATGCAAGTGTAAAGAAAAGTGCAAGTGTAATGAAAATTGAGCCTGTGCACTTTGAGCGATTCGTCACCTCTAAGAAACAGTAAAATTGCGCTCTAAAAATTAGAATAAAATCGCACTCCATTTGAGTAAAAGGGCACTCTTTTCGAGTGCAGTAGATCAGTGTCTATAGGAGTGAATTATATCACTCTACAATTTTAAGTGAAAAATTTCTCTCTATTAAAGTTATTTATCTGTCAATCTTTAATGAATCGTGATTCACTATAGCTTTAGAATAAGATCGTATCACTTCAGTAGAGCAGTTATTCTAAAAATTTAAGTAAAAAATTCACTTCTACCTTATGAGTGCCCGCATTTATTCAAATTAGAATGACAACTCTCTCTTTTGGAGTGACTATTGCAATCACTCTAATATATTAGTGGCGAAACTACTCTATAAGAATTAGAGAGCAAGACGAGTTTCCATAGTGAATCACAAATTATTCTCTCTTTCTACTTTTCTCTCATTTTGCTTTTAATATTTAATTTTTCCACAGTTTTTCGACCGATTGGATGGTTATGACTACAAAGTTGCACAAATAAAAAACAAAAGGAGAGACAATTTATGGATACCCTGGATCGTTGCACTTTTATTAATCTTTGTTAGTCTGTTGCTTGTAAACGTGATGAGACTTACGGAGTTGGTGGGCGACATATTTCTGTCATTACTGTTAGATCTTTGTATGATGATCATACAAATGTATAGTTTTCTGGAAAAGTTTCTCTTGTTGTACCTCGTACTGATACGCTTCAGACATCTGAACAAGAATATCGCGCCGAATGTGTCGTGGGACGAAGAGCGACGTGAACCAAACGCAATAGAAATATCGGATGTACAAATTATGTATTTGATGCTTTACGACGCTCACAAAGCTTTCAATGATATTTACAGATATCCTCTATTTTTATCGTTTTCATTTCTCATGATGTGCGTTGTTGCGAACCTGAGTATCTTTCGGAAGGGAAGCGCATCGACAGCCTGCTCGTTGGTCTGTCCTCCGATGATGCTAATACTAATTATATGCATAATTTGTCATTGTACAACGGAAGAGGTGCGAAGTTTTTAATTCCTTTTATCTACAAAATTCGTTTTATTTTTGAAGAATTTTAGATTTTTTACTTACATTTAGTAAAAAAAAATAATTGTTATACAAACGGTATATTTCAGGCAAATAACATCACGTGTGTCTTGAACAAAAGTATGACCATGCTTGTTCATTCAGGAAAAACGACGGTGATTATCTAAAAAATGTGATTATCTAAGGAAATGTTTTGTATAACATTAACTTGTTTTCACATTTTAGACTAAAATTAGTGCTTTAACGTATTTTTTACACAATTGCGTGTCTTTCGACGCGGCAGGATTTTTCACGATTGACTTGCCTTTATTTCACTCCGTAAGTAATATTTTCCTTGAAATTAATTAAATTAATTTATTATCATTATTACTAACTTTTGTTTAAACTAAAATAGTTAAAATTGAATTTGAAATTAATATTAATTTATTTTAAATAAAAAATTAATAAATTAATATTATATATGGAAAGAATAATTTTATAAAATAAATACTTGTTACATTTTTACTACTAAATTTTTTTATATTGAATTATTTTCAGATTGTTGCGTCATTAGCAACTTATTTCATAATACTGGTATAATCTTCTTTATTAAAATATTTATGATGTGGATACCTATATATTCTAATAAAACAAATATAAATAAATATAATAAAAAAATTCATCGCGTATCGAGACATATATTATGACAAATATGTGCAAATGTGTGTACCATGCTTAATCATTAGTCCGCAATATAATAACCGACGAGTTGATAGTATCTCTTTGACATAGATTCCGAACAAGCTTAATGCATGTAACAAAATCATGATTCTTTATCGACTCTATATCGACGCCGACACTTGCGTCGCGTGATTCAATGTGGAACAGAAACCGTAACACGCGACACGTATCTTTAAGTAGACGAATGCCATTGCCATTTTTTATTATTAGTTGACGTGTCGTAAATGGATATGCAACGTTAGGGTACCATGCGCGATTTGACGATCGTTAATATGATTGTGTCGGTGCTTTGTCACAATCTTAATCTCCGTTTTTTATCATACTAATTGCATCGGAAAGTATGGACGTGCGTAACGGCAAAACGTGATTCGACGAAGATATAAAAAGGAATAAAAATCGAAGTCGATAATGTCTACGTAAAATTCAGTTGCATGGCGTGACGGCAATCGTTCGGTCGTTATACAAATCGGCTAGCTTAGCTCAATAAATTTATTTAATAATATTTTTACATTAAAGATATTTTTTCTATTAAAAATAACTCTCTCAAAAGCAATTATCGTGTCAAAAATCAATATCAACGAAATCAACGCAAAAAATGCCTTTTCGAAATCTAAAACTCTTAATAATGCTCGAGAAAGCATTAGGTTTATTTTCGTGCAATTTGGTGAACGGCCGATTGAAATTGAGCAGTACCTGGAGCTGTTGTTTTTGTATAATATGGATCTTATTTCATTGTTTATACATGGGTATATATTATTATGAGAGGTACATCGATACGCCTATTGAAAGAACTAAAAAGGACAAGGTACTTGACATCCTGCAGTCTAGTATGGGTTTTGTTTCCTTCGCCCCTTACTATATCGTGGCAGCCTTTTGGAGCGAGAATTTCGTTAAGGTAAATGAGTCTTTGATCTCGTATATTTCTCGTATACAAAACGTGTATTGCCATAAATTCGATAAAGATAAACGTTTTTTAAAGGTAACTAACATAGTTAGGATGTGTGAAACAAATGATATGCAAATTCAAATCATAAATAAATTATCACATTTTGCGCGTAATTGTTGCAGTTGTCTGACAAACTTCTGACATACGACGAACAGGCGATAGCATTAGAATATCCAAGGAAGGACAAACATATATTCACGTATCTGTTTTTCGTGTACACGTTTATCATATTAAGTTGGGAGTCTTATTACGACGTCGGTAATGCTATATTGGAAGGAAGATCGGAAGGAATATTGGAAGGAATATCATTCATGTTGAGAAATGTAGTTCCTAACGTTAGTGGCACTTATCGCATCTTAATAATGTGCATGTTTCTGGATCTGATACGCCAACGTTTTCGTCACCTGAACGAGACGATAGTCCCTCACGTTTCGGAGTTACCGGTAACCGGATCGCTAGGCGAAATCACGGTTTACGACGTGCGCTATTTGCACGGTGTACTTCTCGATAGTGCCGAACTGATAAACGCATTATACGGGATAGGCGCTTTGCTCACCCTCATGTCCACATTACTGGGACTTATTTCAATTACATACACAATCATAAAAAATTTGCAGCAGCACAAAAATATACAAGAACTCTTTATAGATGTACTGGATTTATTGATTCAAAATATTTATTTGTTCACAATGTATCACTTTACGACCTATGAGGTAAAAACCGAGAGCTTTATTGTAATATCATTTTTCGTGTTTATTAAAATGTTCGACTATTTGATATTTTCTTTAAAATAAACGAATAAACGAAACCAAACTGTCGCCTCTCGTGTAGCATGTTATTACTATCGTTTCAGGCAAATCGCGTGGAAGAGCGCGTGATAAAATATGGCTTACCCTTTTCGAACAAGAAATGCCGCATGGTAAGTTTTACATTTTCCTCAGCCGGATTGTAAGTAACAATTTAACAAAAGCAATTGGTTTCAGGACAAAATCGAAATGATGTTATACTTTTATCATAGGAGATATTCTTTCACTGCCGCGGAATTCTTTGAACTGGATATGACAATATTCCTTCCAGTAAGATGAGATTATGGCTGCAGTCCATTTGATGTTATACAAATCATCTGAAGCGTTCTTCTTCTTCTTCTTCTTCTTTCTTCATTAAAAAAAAGAGGAGAAGAAGAATGCTTCAAATCATTTTTGTAGTGTTAAGTGGACTGCAGCCTATAATTCTTTATATCATTATTAACAACAAGAAATAAATTCTCATTGTATTTCAGATCGCTACTGTGGTAATGACGTATTTAACTTTAATAGTATAAAAGTCATGGACTCTTTTTGTTTAATATAGTTGTCACGACGTTTCGATTATTCGACCATTGGTCTTTTTCAAGTGTAAATCTATAAATGTATAAATCACAGTTCAATAATTAAAAAGCATGTAAAATTATAACTGATCACAAAACTAAAAGTGACGGAGAAACGTTATAATACAACCCAGATAGCAAGTTGTCCGCAGGTTGCTTTCAATTTGCTTAAAACTGCTCTGCTAATAAGTTGCCTTCAATATATATTGAGGAAAGCGGCTTCCAATTTGCCTATTGGATTGCCGACTTTTATTGCCACCAAAACGGTTGCCAACAGATTGTGCAATGGCAACTTTTATGGCAATAAGTATGCTACGAGCTTTCCGCTTGTTTGCGTAAGGTAATCGTTGTCTGCATAATGCTTTTAAGTTGCTCTAAACGAAATTACTGTTGTCCGGTGACAGCAATATGATGACAACTGAAGGGAAACTTATACCAAACACTATTTCCTTTTTATGCCAAGGAATGCTTGGCTATCTGGTAATACATTGTGAATATAATAAGAATATAAAAAAAAAGGTTTCTAAATACCTAAGTCATGAATAAATCAATAAAAAGTATCCACAAATATATCTCTCTGGTCACGACATTGTGCTAAAGCAAGTAGTATAATGAATTTGAAAGCTGAATTTAAGCTGATTAGACCAAAATAATTAAGATAACGAAACCAAAGTTAACATAAAAGGCATGCGTGTTTTATAATGTTCATGTCGCCAACAAAGAATCGTGTAAAATAGTCATTTAAAGATATTATGTCATTTCGTTACGATCATTAGAAGCTTATAGCTATTTAAAAAATGTAAAAAAAAAAATCGTGCAACAACACTGCAAAACTGAGTTAAAAAGGAAAAACCATTTATAAGTTAAACAATAAGGAAAATATGTGTAAAATAAAAAAGTCAAGTTCTGGAAGAATATGTTCCTTTATTTAAAATTGTTTTAATATAATCTAACTCCCATACTTTTTTTTGTATTGTAAATTACACGTCTCTACAACTTAGAAGTACTTAGAACTGTATTCATAGTCCATCTTATATTTCAGACTATAGAAAGGCTCGACTTATCTGAAGACATTGCAAGGTCTGTTTCATTACTATAACATCTTGTAACTTAAAGACGATTTTAAATAGAACGGAACTAATGCTGCACTTAAGCTGAATTAGCTGTTTTATTCGGTATTCTTCGGACGCCAAAGAAAATAAACATGCATATTGTGCGTTGTAACTGTGAGCTAGACAATAACATACTACTCGTATAGAGATCAGCATAAATAACAATATTTCTATATTAGTATCATGTATTTTTTATGTGTCACTAACGTTACTTAGCTACAGTTAATAAATATATCCAAATTAAAATGCAATTAATCTAAATTTAATTTAAAACTACTTTTTATTTTTGTGGGAATGCAAAAATACAGTTCAAAATGATCAATCAATATCATTCAATTTATAATAATTTACATTGATTACATTATCTATTTTGAAATTGACACAAATCTGAAATAAAATGCGAAAGCGAATCGTCCCCTCGCCGCAGAGCCGACGGCGACGGCGGAGAAACCGGAGTAGGAGATAAAGCGCTGTGGGATAAAGAAACCCGCAAGATTTAATTTAAATTTGCGACATGGTCGTAGTTCTTGTATCTCTGATAAAATAAGTCTCAAATTTCGTTAACTTTTTATGAATAGTCAGATTAGTTTCTGAATTATAGGCATTTGAAAGTCTCCTTTACAAGACCGTTCGTACTTTTTTTCGAGACCTTTATTTCAGCTGAATTTCTTGCACGGTTTACCTTTTCTCTTTTTCTTTTCACGTTGGAAAGAAAAACTGGTGTAGCATTTTCCAAAATACGTAGTCGTCTTTTCCTCTGACCAATCAGAAATTTGTCCAAGATATAAGAAGTAATATGGCTTCTCGCATAATGTGACAGGACAGTTTGTGTCTATTTGTGTTAGCCGTTGCACACATTTCTTAGATGGTCGTAACAAGTTCGAAAAAATATCTCTCGCGATCGTAAAACATTATAAAACAAATAGACTTATGCCAAATATATCAAATTTATTAGATTTTTATTAAATATTACATACTGTATTTTGTTCGCGAAGAAAAGCCATGCCAACGTTGTGCAGTATTAAAAATTGCAAGAGTAATACGCATTATACTACGTCGAAAAACATTAAACTTCATAGGTTTCCAAGAGAAATAGCTGTTCGTCAGAAATGGCTTAATGCCTGCCAAAGGAAAGAAAGTGATATAAAAGTTGATGCGGGTAAGTTAACAAGAAAATGATGGTAGGTTAGTGTTTTAACTTCCAACTCAACCCAATGTCATTGTTACTTACATGTGTTTACTTACATCACAATCATGATTTAATATATTTATAGCAACAATATGCAGTATCCATTTTGAGGAAAATTGTTTAGCGCTTGTGAAGACAAAACCACGATTAAAAAATCAACCAGTCAAAGAAATGTTAAAATTAATAGAGGGATCTATTCCAACAAAATTCTTAAATCTAGAAAAGAAACCAGTACGTCGAATGTCGCAGAGCAAGAAAATTAACAAAAAAATTAAAGTACCGTAAATATTTTCTAGATTGTTACGTATACAGCTGTATTATATATTATACTGTGTTTGAATTTAAGTATCAGATCACTCGTGCACACGTAAATTAGGTCAAATTGAACAAAAGTTCTCTACTATTTCGCAAAGAACCATGTAAAATATACTTACAAATGTACAAATGAAACTAATACTTTACAATATTCTTTCAGAGGAAAGTCATTTGTATCTACAGAACTTGTATAATATGCATGCACAACAAAAGCAGCGTTTATCACAAAAAGAAACTGTAACAAAAATAGAAACAGATGTTGCACAAAATATGGAAGAAGCTGTAAAGAATATACATAGAAAGAGATACTTTACAAGGTACGAAAGAGAAAGTTACAAAAAATATGGAAGAGCAAAGTAAAGCGATAAAACAACAGGTGTAGGTATATGTAGCTAAATGTTTCTTTAAAATTATTATTATATATATTTCCAATCACAATCATATTTAAGTTGTTAGTATATATTGTTATAGAAAGTATTTTACAGAAAGCAAGGAATTGACGATAATTTAATGCAATTAAAAATGCCAAAGCAACTGAACCTAAAACTTTTAGACAAAAATAAAAATCTTGAAGAAAGGATTCGAGATTTAAGTACACAAGTTTCACAGTTGTAAGCAGAAATTAAAAACATGACGAAAAATAAACATAAAAAAGCGAAAACAATAACCATCGCTGCTTTACGTAAGATATATATATCAAATACTCAATAAAATAATCCGTATAACCGTTATCTCAAACTGAAGCAGATGAAATTAGCATTGTGCATCATCATAGTTGAATGTCAAGAAGTTAAAAAACAGAAAGTGTTATACAGAAATAAAGAAGAAAAGTACAGAAATAAAACGAATCAGAGAGAAAAATAAAAACGGCCACGCCGCGCGCCGGCGATCTAGCCGAATCTAGCGAGTTCTGAAATTGTGCTAATTCGCAGCGCCTCTACATCCATTTTATCATGAAAGTAGAACTACGTAGCCAAATTCGCCAAATCCACTTTTCGAGATGATAAAACGCTATTTGGTTCATATCCGTGCTATAATCATTGTCAGTGATGTCAGGACTGCAGCATCGCACACGAGCACAATGATCACATCCATGATATACTTACACACACGGGCCACTATTTCTAGCATCTGTTAATTTTTAATCGATCGTTAACTTTTCAGAATAGTCAATAGAAGTTGGCTATTTCTATAATTAACGGTCGGTTAACAGACGTTAGAAATAGTGATCCTACAGCTTACAGGACTCTAGTGGCGTTCCAATTGAGGGCTCTCACTTCACTCACACACTCACATCCCACGAAATTGCAGCACTGGTGCCACTGGTTCGATCAGTTCAGTCAGTTTAGTGTATATTGATGTATATCTGTGGTTCGGTGTTCGGTCTGCCGTCTGGCATCACTGTGCATGCACTGGTTAAAAATTGGAAGTTGGAGTCGGTTTAAGTCAGTTTAAGAAGTCGAGTTCCTAATATAATAAGGGACGTACCTTCTGTGACGTGCAACGTTAAGGTATGTACCTAATCTCAATAAAAAAAACTTCTGATGGAGAACTCATGTTTCGCTACAATCTGATAAGGATTCGTTAAATAGCGATATATTTACTTGATCTATTTACTTGATATAACATCAGATTGAGTAATTCAGTGTAATGATCCGAGCTTTCAGTCGATTATATCAAGAAACGCGCTTTCCGGCGGATTTCCCAACCTTCTCACGTGGCGAGAAGCGTGTTTACTCAACTGCTCTAAAAACAATGTCGAAAAAATCGACCGTGAGGATCGGCACGCAGGACGGATCTTTTTATTGCTCTGGGGTTTTTGCCTGTGCACTATTAAAGCTGCTACCACAGTACAAGGATGCGTCTATAGTGAGGTAATCATCCTCAACTGAAAATCAACCGTAATAGAAACAGATTTATATATAAAATTGTATGACAAAATCTGGATAATATTTGGAATGTTGCAATTATGGGTCTGTTTTCTATTGCTGAACTAGTTTAGAGTTTATCTTTTTTACTCCACATTGGAAGGAAAGTGCAGCCAGTTCAGCAATAGAAAATAGACCATATATGTTTCAATATTTGCAACAATACTTGTAGAAATTTACATCATTGTGCAAATATTGATAAATATTGATAAATATTTACACAATGATGTAAATTTCTATTGATAAATATTGATAAATATTGATAAATATTTGCACAATGATGTAAATTTTTACAAGTATTGTTGCAAATATTGAAACATATAGGATCTATTTTCTATTGCTGAACTGGCTGCACTTTCCTTCCAATGTGGAGTAAAAAAGATAAATTTAGAAATAAATTGTGCAAATATTTATCAATATTTGCACAATTTATTTCTAAATAATATTTCAGCAAAAGTTGCAAGTTGCTTGACTAAAAGCCACAAGAACCAAGCAACTTGCAACCTTTCTGTAAGAGCAGAATGTGTGCATACGTTTCTCTTCCGAATAAATTCAAGAATTGAGCCCCAGTATTACGTAATTAGTATTCTGTATTTGCTGAGTTGCCGTTAGATGGTATCCTTTTTCGTATGTAAAATATGATGAACGATGATATATATGGAGGAGTAAAAGTTATAGTGATGTAAGTCAAATTTTTAAAAATATTGCCAATTTATATATTGTATAGATTGCATCTATGCACACGAACCAATATCTTAAAAAATTTGACTTACACCACTATGGCTTTTACCCCTTCATATGTAACTGTTATGTATCGTTTATATTTGCTTCCTAAATGTCAAAATAATTGTGCAAAATTTAAATCTAAAATTGAATTTATCAATTTTTGTACAAATATTATTCAGAAATTTTATGACAAAATTGCTGAGTTATGGCGAATTATCTTAGTGCAATAATTGTGAAATTGCTCTTAATTGAATGATACAATTATTGTGTACAATATTTGCGCAATTTTCCTATCAAGTAAAAGTTTTAATGCATTAAAATCCAGAAAGGGAATTGGCATAAATTATAATATCGAAACGAAATGAATAGGAAATATTAAGTTGCAGAATTTATAGATATGCAATTAAATTTTTAGATCTCGAAATCCGAGTGTCTTAGATGCCTGTGATATCGTGGTGAATGTTGGCGGCGAGTATGATCCTTCCAGACATCGATACGATTCTCGCATGAAGTAAAATAACATATTTTTTAATGATATAACATTAAAGATAATCTCTCTGTTTTTGTCATATTATTATTTTTTTTCTTGCATCAGAGAATTCCAGGAATCGCTGAGTACCATTATGAAGAACCCAGGGTACAATTGGACAGAAAAACTAAGCAGTGCGGGACTAATCTACTGCCATTTTGGTCATGAGATATTGAGGAGTGTACTTCCGGACATAACAGAAGACAGAGTCATTGATGAAATCTTTAAGATTACTTATGATACGCTAATCAAGGAAATCGATGCTATAGCTAACGGTGTGCCGATGTACGATGCAGAGTCATTGCAAGTGGACCCTTGTGATGTTATATGCTGCGCAGTACGCTTCTCCAGAATTATTGCATATCCATTTGTTTTAGGTATCGATCAGTTACCGATTTAAGCTCGCGCGTAAGCAGACTTAGTCCTCAGTGGTACAGCCATTTACATCATGGGTACAATCAGGATGTGAATATCGAGAGAAAATTTGAGAAAGCCATGGCTTTGGTTCGGGAGGAATTTTTAGAAATTGTGCGCGGCACGAAAAACATTTTGTTACCGACGAGAAAAATCATGCGACGCGCCGTGGAGAGTCGATTTGAAGTAAGGAAGACCCTCTATTTGTCTTTTCGTTTTGGATATATTTTCGATTATCATTTAATGTAAAACATTCTTGTAAGATTGATTCGAGCGGAGAGATAATAACGATGTCGCAACCTTTGTCGTGTAAGGAGTATTTGTTTCATTTGGAAAAGGAGATGAACGTGTCGCCATCAATAAAGTACGTCATTTTTGAAGTTAGACCCTATTATTGGATTGAGTGCATGCCGGTAGAGTTGAACAGTTCCGAGTACAGAATGTTATTGCCGGAAGCATGGGGCGGTTTGAGCAATGATACTCTTGTGGAAGCTTGTGGAATTGAAGGCGCCATACATGTGGTTTCTGGTCGGTCCGTCGGCGGTCACAAAAATAAGGAAGGTGCAATGGCCATGGCGCGGAAAGCGCTCAAGATTGGGAAAACCATGCAAGATGAAAACCGTGCAACCACGAAAATCATCATAAAAAATGACGATGTCTAGACTTCTAGACCATTGATTTTTTTTAATTTTTATGATGGTTATTGAACATTTTTCAAGAACATTTTTTTTTCTAATTAAACGCAATTCGCTTGCGTACATTTTGTTCTATTTAAAGACTTCGATCGTTTAACATTCACTGAGTCCCATTATAAGAAAATCATTTTATTTTTTGAATTGTACGTTAAATACTTTTGAATATATTTGTATATTCAATAAGACTGAATCAAATTACATACTTATTCCAGAAATTAAAAAAAAAATGTATATGACTCATTTATTGTCAAAGTGTCCTCACATCAGATCCTCACATAAATGTGGTACAAGTTTCTCCGCATGTTCTGCGATCGGGAAGAGATAGCTTGATTTTATCGATACCGCAATTTTCGATGGTTGCTTAAATTCGTCAATCAGCGTTCTAAGCGGCTGCTTGAGCGTGCGCAGCCAAATGTGCGGCTTTAGCCTGAGCCACTTCGGGAGTGTCGATTACTGTCGATTATTCGGCCGTCAGGTCTAACTTATTGGAGCGTAACTGCAGTAAAGTGCAGGCGTAGATGTATATGCCAGAGCACCTTATGGAACCAGTCCGATCGTCTTGGCTACCTCCTACGTACACGAACATTTAATTAAATTATTCATCGGTATATTGTGACGCAAAGGAATAACAAAAAACTATTATCGAAAGACACAACGTTATATTGACGGTTCTCGACTCTTAATAATGAAGGGCAGTATTATGTTGAATATCGGTCACGAATAGCTATTGCCCTGTGCGTAATCATATTAAACCCTCAAAGGACTCGTTTTCGTCCACCCGAAAAATACGATCCTGAATATCTTTTGAATCCGGAACAGTGGCGACATATATTGTGTACGTAAAAAAACTTTAGGGTAGGAGGGTCCTTCACGCGCAAGGACATCTTGGTCTGTCAATTTGTCTCCGGATGCCAGCGAGAACAAAGCTCAAAAGGTCGAAAAGGACCCGACGGAGTCTTTTACGTAAGTAAAAATGCACTTTTTTCCAAACTTTTTTTTTCTTGAAAATCACCTAATTTTCATAGTTTTGACGCATTTTCAAGCGTCAAGCGCGATAAAATAATTTCTTCCTACACGGTTGCACGAAAAACGAACAGATGGCATATGGCATTAGGGAGATCTTAGGAATATCAGATATTGAAGTCAACTATGCCAATAGATCTGATAAATTTTATTTGCTTATAATAAAAATTGATGAAAAACATGCTGTTGTTCTCTTACAGCCCTTATTTTCCTTGAAATAACGTGAAAACGCCACTTGAAAATTGCCAACTTTTAATCAGTGAAATAGGATATCTGGTTTGATCCTACGCTATTGTGACCGTTACCATCGGAAAGAGCAACTCTTTTCCTGTAAGAAACTGTATTTGAAAAATTTTTTAACTCACTTTTATATTTATTATGAATTAAAAAAAAATCACTTTTTTTCAATTTTTTTATGCTAATAACTAAAAAAAAACTATTAAAGAAAAAAATGTTTAGAAATCAACATCACAGCTTAAAAGAGGAAAGTTCAAAGAATATCCATGAATTTTGCGGAATTTTTTTGAATAATATTTAATATTATTTATAAGTCGAAAGGCAAAAAGGACCCGACGCAGTACTTTTAAGGTGTCAAAAAGCACGTAGTCTTTTGAGGGTTAAACCAAGAGTGTCTTACTTGGACGTGAGTGGTGAAATGGGTAGTTTTAGCCTGGGCAGCGCATGGTGTGCAGTCTACCACCCAATTGTCCGCGCCTGGGCGTCATACGTAATCTCAGATGCATGAACAGCAAGCATGTTTCCGTAACTATGCGTTTCTGGCCTTGTAAACTTGAGTGGCGAGATGCGCTTTTGCCTGCATTACTTCCGGCGTGTCCAAGACTTTCTGGTCCAGTCTGTCCGAGCGGTACACCGACGTGGTATGTCGAATAGGCCGATTTTACTGCCGCGATAGGGTAGAATGCGAATAAAACGATCTGCAAAAAAGAACTACATGCGTAGTTACATTTTTTGCGTAGTTCTTGTGTTAGGCTGCGTTCCGATATTTATTGCCAGTACTGAAAATCTACATTAGTTCACGTACACTACAGATTTTCAGTACTGGCGATAAATATCAGAACGCAGCCTTAGTATCTTGTCCTAAAACATTTGTGAAGTATTTTCTCAACAAATAATCTGACCCCAAAATTGAAGAAACTTAACTACGGAAAAAATTAATGACAAAGAATATCAGCTTTAATTTAACTTTACAACTAATAAATCGGTTTGGCTATAATCTAGTAAATCTAATTGATCACGGAATAAACGATTGAATGCAATTAAATTTTCGTCCGTAAGATTATCTTCGAGGCTTCCCTGCCAATCGATGATACTCAGCCTTCATGTCTTGTTAGTGAGGTCAAGCGCTGCTGGATGATTACCAATACTTATCTTAAAGTATGGACTGCTATGTGGTATTGTGTGTGTGTGTCGAACATCGGATTCTCTTTTATACATGTATACATGTACAATCATTCTTTTTTTAATACAGGCTGCTCCGTTTTTATCGAATCGTAATTGCGATCAGAGAAAATTGAAAATTTTCTACACAAACGGTATATTTTTAATAGAGTTTGACTGAAATACATAGATACTTTAGCAACGATAAGTTTTTTTGGACAAAATATTCTGTTATTTTAATATCTAGATATAATAATAAAGGAATTAAATATTATGATAAACATAATGTTTTATGCTCATTAACAAGTTCTTTTGCATTAAATATTTTATTATTCTGTCCAGTACGATAGAGAATTAAATTTATGTATATTAAGGTGTTTGTGGTGAGTGGGGGTAGTGAAATATATGGTGTGGATGGAAGTCAATAAGGGTGTGAAGGGTGCTTGGAGGGGTGTGTGAGGATGTACGCGAGTATTGAAATGTCGATTATAGACATCGAGACGACGACGACGTTGATGGCGTTTTTTAATCCAAATTACTCGATTTTAACATATATATGAAAAAATCTTCCTTAATATTTGATGTAAAAAAAAAAAAATAATGACACTTTTATAATATAACTAACTGGTTACCCGGGCTTCGCCCGGGAGTCGTTTTTCTTAAAACAACTTCACTTATGTTTCAATATCCTTATTGTAAACAAACATAAGGAGTGTTCATGGATTAAACATGTCGTAACCAATCTTTTTCTACTCGGTCAATTATTTCCAGAAAAATTGGAAAAATTTCTGATACCGGTTTCCAAAAAAATCGATAACGAAAAATTATACACTTTATGGCACTCCCCGAGAAATTCTCTACTCCTGTTTCATATACAATTCTTTAAGATTCGGTCAATTATTTCCCTAAAAATTTGAAAAATTTCTGATACCGATTTCCCAAAAGATCGGTAACGAAAAATTATACACTCTATAACACTCACCGGAAAAATCTACCCTTATTTTATATACTTTTGGTAAAAATTCGGTCAAATAGTTTAAGAGTGTATAGAGATTTCCACTGTCCCTATCTACTATCTAGCGAAACCACTGCCAAGGGAACGGGCTTGGAAAAATTAGCGGGGAAAGAAGACCCTGTTGAGCTTGACTCTAGTCTGGCACTGTAAGGAGACATGAGAGGTGTAGCATAAGTGGGAGATGGAAACATCGCCGGTGAAATACCGCTACTTTCATCGTTTCCTTACTTACTCGGTTAGGCGGAGCGCGTGCCCCGAGGGCTTCGTGCCCTGGCGGTCACGGTGTTCTAGAGCCAAGCGTGTCAAAGTGGCGTGAGGCCTCGCGGCCGATCGCCGTTAATACTCCCGCGTGATCCGATTCGAGGACACTGCCAGGCGGGGAGTTTGACTGGGGCGGTACATCTGTCAAAGAATAACGCAGGTGTCCTAAGGCCACCTCAGCGAGGACAGAAACCTCGCGTATAGCAAATACTTTGAACTTTAAACCTTAATATCATCTAAATGGTTATATTTATGAAAAATATATAAGAGACCTTTTTTGTAGATTGTTAAATTTTCTACAAAAATATGTATTGATTATTTCATAATTTTTGATAGTCGATATGATACAACATTCATAAGAAGCAAAAACAAGTTTTATAAAATTTATCAAACTTTAACTTTGAATATCTTTTGAACGGTTGAATTTAATGACACACCCTAATATATATATATATATATATATATATATATATATATATATATATACATATATATATATATATGTATATAACGTTTTTGCATTTGTAGATTCCAAAGAAAAAATTAGAGAGTTGATGGATAAGAAAAGGTCGCAATCTGTTCCCTCGCATTTGTTGATGTCTGCACCAGAAGAAACTAATTCTGATACTGATAATGCGATTGAACAATCAAAAAGTTTACCACTACCAAATACTGAAAATGTAAGTTAATTTACATACCTTTGCATTTTAAAACTTTTAACCATTTCTGACACCGGAGTGCTTCTGCATGGATGCTCAGCTAAAATAATATTTGATAAAAAATAGAGTTTGTCTAGAGGTCTGTAGAAAAATACCGAGTTAAATGACTGTAACTTGCTGTTTATTGAATTAAAAAGTAAACCATTCCTAACTTTTTTGTGTCCGCTATTCGGTTTTAGCGTACGCTATCTACAGTCTCTTAGACTGACTGTCAAATAAATGAAATCTTTTGTTACCTTCAAAATGTTATTGACTTGAAATTAAAATTTAGCTTATCAAATTAGCGCCAAGATACAGTTACTAAGGCTATAAGAACAATTTAACATGTTTTATCTAACAAAACTTGAAGGCACCCTAGGACGTTCTTATGCTGCAAACGGTTTAATTTAATTGATAATTGTTATAATGTATAGAATAACGATCCGATAGTATCTCGTATTTAATGTAGAAATGTTAAAATTTTATTTTTCTCATAATTTTCATATGCCTAAATGATATATATATGATTCAAAATGTTGATAATCCAAACATGGGTTTAATATTGTAATACCACAGCAGTCTTGCATCAATATTGCAATATGAAATATCACATTGCAATATTGTTGAAGTATTGCTGTGATATATTATATTATAATCTGAACCCGCGTGCACTTTAAGGTTGCAGTAATGTTGCTGTAATATATTTA